AAAAAAAAAATAATTCATAGGAATCTAACTGTGATTTCTCTTTAAAACAAATTCTGCTGATTTTTACACGAGATCAGAGGAAATACCAGTATAATTCTCAGTAATGTATGCTCGATAGCTTCCTATTATAAATAGAATTTGCGAAGTAAATTTTGCAACGTTGAAATGTACTTACATTTTTTATGCGGAATACGACGTTTTGCGAGTTTGTTCATTTCCGTTCACGTTTGATTTTTTTTTTCAAAGAAAGAATATCAACCAACAGCTTCCCTTGAAATTATCTGTGACATCTCTATAATGATTGAAAAATATTCGCATTATATTTCAATAAGATATTTTATTAGTTTTAAAGGAAGTCAGAAAAGAAACAAGACGCACAACCCTGAACTATCCTGACCTAAACCGGCTATTTTTTTTATTTATAAAATGCTGAAATTTTACAAAGCGCTAGTGTCGTTTGATCTCAAAAAGGGGGAGGTTTTTAAAATCAGCTAGTATTATTTTCTGTAACCAGTAATTCAATCAAAATCGGCAAACCTATAAACCATTTTTCCTTGATTTATACAACGTTTTAAAAAATTCTGTGATATTGTCTCAGTACTACAAAAAATTTCGCCTTGTTAAATATCTTTCTGTTTTTTCTCCTACCAAAGGATAGATACTCAAGCAAACAATTGGCCCAAAAGAACGTCATCACAGAGAAAGAAGACTGGTGTTAGATAGAGAAGCATCACAAACACTTGGCTTTATAAAAGGTTTATGCAAAAGGTATGAAGGTGTATGCGAGTGCATGCTTTATTTAATGTCGGAGCTTGCATTTTAATCTCCGCCGAACGAAGTGTAACCACACACGAGCCTGCAAAGGGCAGATAGAGCCCATTTATTAGGCACCCACGACCTGTGAATACAGCATGCAACCGGTAGGTATTGAAAAGTATGTAAAGATTCAATCCGGATCTATGGCCGGAGAGTGAAGGGAATAGCAACATCAGTAGTATAGATCTCCGTTCTCCCACTCAGATCTTTTGCAGATATTCGACTCTTGCGCTCAATGAGCTCATTGATCTAATTATGCAGGTTGGGTAGCCCTCTCGTCTTATCAATGTTCATCAACAACTAATTTTAGCATGTTCATTCCTCTGCAAGGTTGCCAAATTCATGAAATTTCACTGAGCAACACGTTGGCAGAAATTTCAGTAAGCACATTAGCAAAAATGACATAAAATAATATGATATGATCTCAATGAGATATGATTTCAAGGTGGATATGATATATATGCAAGGAGTAATTCGAAAGGTGGCCAATCTAAAGTCATTAGTAGAACCTAGAAATGTTCTCAAATCGTCAACAATGGCCTGGCCAGCCTCTCAAGTGTACTCTTGAAGGGGGGGGGGGGAGGAATTAGCATGTAGAAGGGTAAAATAAAATTTTCCAGGCGCATTGCTTTACTCGAAAAGTGGAAACTCAAAACCATCTAAACGACATCGATTGTTGCTGAAGTTCCAAATGATTCGCTACACTGTAAATTAACCTACATGTATACCTTATGGAATTTTTATCGGGACATATTTTCCTAAATGTTTAACTTAACTTCATCGCAAAATTTGTTTATTTTTAAGCCACGAGATTCTCTTTTAAATATAGAAGCCGTTCCACGATCCGAAAAAAATATTTAATGGCACTAAGTTTTGAACTTTTCACTCTTAATTTGTATGAATGTATGCTAAAAGGAGCTATGTTGCACGTTAACCCTATGCAAACACCTCCCTTAAGTAAAATCACGTCCATGTAGGAACCAAGCTCACCTCCCTCCAAAATACAGCCCCACGCCCCTCCACAAATACTGACTTCAGCGGTAGCGAAACTTCCTTTCCGAATTAGGTTACGCTTTTCCATTTTGCTGATTAACAATATGTGTTTTTAAAAGTCTATCACCATCCCATTCGTAAATAAAGACAATCTTTCATCCCCGCATAGTTTGTCATATTGTTGAGAGTGACAAGTAGAGCGAACACATATCCAATCGGTAAAAAGTGATGAGTGTAGAGGGCTAAAACAAACATTAGGTGGAAAAAATCTCTCGCTAGTCGGACGGTTTGGATACATGTTACTTTAAAAATACAAAATAGGACTTGAGCTGATCTTCTGGAAAATTATTATAAGTTGACGTGTGGCCAATCGCCATCCATCTGATATAACAGCTGTCAAAGGCATTAAATATTGTGGTGCAAACCCATGCTATTCAATTGGAGTTCCCGCCTCCGAATTTCAGTCACCCACTTCCTTTCAATCACCAGCCAATGAATGAAGGATAACAATGAATGACCGAACAATGCGAACATTTCACGACCTTGCTATCCTTCATCCACAAATGGAAAGGAGGCTTTTTACTTACCAGCATGTAATACCAACATGAATCTAGGAACAGACTGCTTTAAACACGTAGATCCACGTTTTTTATCATGACAGAAATCGCAGATTTTACATGTGAGGATAATAATTTAAAAACTACAATTTTGATTAATTTATTTTCCTTATTTTTCACATTCATGTTGATCATCAAACTTTTGGGACCTCATAGAAAAACGGAAAATTCAAACATTTTGGAGATAATCATATATACTTCGAAATCCAATATACTAAAAACTATATAGTCCGCGACGTAAATAGCCTAGATGCTGATCGTCGTTAAATAAAATTAACTAACTAACTATATGAGTAAATGAATTGGTTAAACACGAGGCCTACTAACAGACCAAAAGCAGTCCTTACGGAATATGTGTGTATTTTTGCGCTTGAGACTGTCGTATTGTTGACTGTTGTTGACTGTTGAGACTGTGTATGATGCGTTGAGTTGTCCGCGAAGTCTCCAGCGAGGTCCTCGTAGAGATCGTCAATTGAACCTCCTTTATTAAATTCATCTATCGCTTTCAAGATGTTTTTCATTTTATTCCAGTCCTTGTAATCGGTTTCTGGAGCGCCCATGCCCCATGCCTGGAACAGATACATATTGTATGTATTAGGCGCTCTCCTATAACCCTGAGATAAGTTTTTAAAGTGTGCCAAATATATAAATAATTTTAATAAAGTATCGAGGCAAATGTATGCGGTGACTACGAAAATCACTCCATATGGATTAGCTACCTCTGTAAATGTTCTAAAAAATGTCAGTGCAATAAATGTTAATTTTTTCGAGACGCAGTAAAAAACATATTCATACTCTCAATAACAAAAGGCACGACCTATTTTTGCATTATGGTTCTCAGTCAAACAGATCAAATCTTAATCATAATAATTATAATTGAAACTAACAATACATTTAAAGTAAAAATTAAAAATATCACGATTATTCAAATATTGAGATATACGTGGATCATAAACAATTTGAAGTTACTATTTGAAGTAACAAAAATATTAGTTGTTGTGCTCAAATAATAAAATAATAGTATCATTAATGGAATTTAGTCCAAGTTTATAGTGAACATCGATGCAAATTGTAAAGTATTAGACTTCATTTGAAACTATTTAGGTTGAATTCAACCACGAATGATCAATATTTATCCACTTATCTGAAAAAACCTCAATACGTAAGGTAAAAAAAAACAGTGTTTACCTGGTCTTCATCTTGAATGCAGGCGAGAATAATAAAAAAATGTAAGAAAACTAGTAAACTCATTTTTACAGAAATCCTAGCTCTACGAAAATACACAAAAGTGTCATCATTGTGAAAACTATATTAAAAAAGGAAGACTGTGAATATTTATAATATTAAAAACACTGCATCTAATGGAATACAACTTATCAGTTACTTGCGTGGCGTGAGGAGCACAATCAACTGAGTCTCCCTTTATAGGATACATGACTCGTCGCCCATGATTAGTTTCCTTATCAAGAGCTTTTAGAGATTCTAATGACACACTGCATTGACACAGTTGAGCTCCTGCCTTGTGTGAGAAACAAAAGACTACCGTGAACAATAGATGAACGTATTTAAAATTGGAAAGCTTACATTTGTCTTTTAAGGCTTTAAATCGGTTTTTGGCAAATTTCATCATCGGCCTTTGCTCTGACAACTCTTATGTATTTTCTGCATGTTGATGTGTTTGTATCTAGATTCATTTTAACAACAAGGTTACTGATTCGATCTTTTTTGCCGTCATACTTGACTTACTGCCCCCCCCCCCCCCCCCCCNNTATAACGCAAGATCATAGTGGGTTGTATGTTAATGTATACAGCATTTGTTGGTTTGTACAACACGTTCATAATTATTCTTTCATATTTGCAATACCGATGTTGTTTAGATGTATTCATATTATCAGTGATACTTTAACGGTCGAACGCATCAACAAAAGTCAACTTTTGCAATAGTATACAGTTGGAACGAAAATATTCAAATTATCTTTAACACACGAGTGAAAGTGTGGAATTCGTCCACCCATGCACCATGAAACGTTAAATTTTGTGAGTGAAAGTCCAAAATCCGATAAAACTATCGCGGTATTTCTTTTAATGTCGAAAGAAAGTGAATGCAAAAATTCTTTAAAGGAGAACAAGGAAGAACAATTTTAAGAGTAAACAATTATTGACTTTCATTCTACGAAATGCAGTATGATAATGCGCTTCAGTCAGTGTATCGTCCGATTACACACAACGTGACGTGACGCTACGCATGCAAATTTTACATGCAACTCCTCGTGTTTTATGGATGAGCGTGTTGCATGAAAAAAAATTGAAGGCGTTTTGTCTTTCCATGCCCTCGCAGCGGTACACTCAAAGTGAATGTAGTGACTATAACTATTCAGCGCTTGGCTTTTGGCTTTCATAGTCCGTATTTTTAGCGCAAATTAGAGAGCTAGTAGTTAATGGATTCATATTATATATATGATCTCTAGGAAATCGATTAGCCAATAGTAAATTTCTAGTAGCGATTATCAAACGGTTGGTCAACGCAACCAGAGGCATGATTACCAGTAGCGAGGCGCGAATGATCGATAATTGATATTTTCTATTTGTAGCTATGGTAAAAAATCGATTATTGAGGTGTTCCTTGCGAGCACCCTGTTGATCGATCTTTTTTCATAGGTTAAAATGCAGATCACTGGAAGTATCGCAAAGCACGCCACTGATGATTATCACTGACATAAATCAAGCACGTTATTTCCTGCATATGATATGGAGTAAATTTTGCAATTAGAAACCACAATATCCGGCTCAGTGTAGGAAAATCATGCAGTATTTGTTTCTCCATGCACATAAGTATTTTACTCTTAAGCCAGAAATTACAGTCCTACTTGCAAAATGAATCAGTGAGTTCGAAAACACACCCACTCGGTAACTCGATTTCATAAGAGACGGCCAACTATTATAAAAGTCATTGAAGTTAGCGCATCTGTTCCAACTTGGACCTTTAAAATGCCCTGAAGTGCTTGTATTTCGGCACCAAAAATATCTTTCTTAGACTAATTTCTTCATTTACTGTTCGGTTTTGTGTGTGTTTTGATTCTTTTAATTTTTCCGAGTTGGTGTCTTTTCGTTCTCACTGATTCAAATGTAGTCCATAGGAATTCGGGGTCCATTAAATTCCTTTTTTTATCCGTGCGTCGTAAATAATGCAAATAATACAATTTTTCAAAGAAACGTCAGTTACGCTTCTTCCACCGTGAACTACCGATCGGCTGCTGTAAGTGAAACGACTGCAGAGGTCGAGAACCGAGAGATCGGCCCATAATTGGCGTCCACCCTGCTTTACAACGGCGAACGGTGGAAAGTAAACTCAGGTATGAGCCGCGGTCATCACGTGCGCTAATACACTCGGAGGCTCAACCCACGATGGAGTTACTGCCCTTTTCCGCAACACGGGAGCACCATCCCGGGTCCGGAAACAGGACGTAAGATCGAAAGCTGGAGTATGTTACTCATTAGTCGAGTCAATGTCATGTAATCTGCATCGCCCCGGCTGCCGTTGCCGCTCCAGCGCCGAAAATTCGTCCTGGGACCAATTTGGATTTGCATTTCGTCCACCATCTTGCAGAGGAGGTCGGCGGTGGTGACGGGCGGGTGGTCGATCGGGAAAACACTCGCGTTTTGCCACCGATCAATTGTCACGACTCGCCACCGACCATCACCCGCCCATTGTTGCAATTTCACGTCGGAAAAAAGCCTTGTCTCCTACGGTGGAGTTCATGAATGGAGAGTTTGCAGGTGTCTGGAATTTGAAGAAAATCATGTTGAAGTGTAAACTACACAGAAAAAAATAGATAGTGCTGACGACGGAACCTTATGTTCACAGGGCTTCTGAAGTTTTTATGTTACACTTACAGGATTTTTCTGCTGTGAGAACATAACTTTGGTCGTGGGGACAGAGTACTCAGTCCTCATGACGGAAGCTTCTGTGACTGTTACAAAAAAAGTGCAGGAGCCCTGTGAACAGAAATATTTTTTCAGTGTACTGAGTGAATTGAGCACGAGGATACCATTGGTTCATTAATGGAGCACTTATTGAAGGAGATGTGACGAAAATATCTAATTTGTTAAAATACATGGTATTTAAGAGGAAATGCCGGCAGATGCAGGGCCACCATAAGGGGGGGATACTGGGTTCCTGGTACCGGGGCCCGGGCCACGGGGGCGGCCCGTGTTACCCTATTGTGATACAACTATTTGAACTCTCCGGAATGTTTGAGATATCACGCCGCATTTGAAGGCGTTTTCAAATCAGCCAAGCTCCGATACCCGGATTATCGTTTTGCATAGTTCATATTCTTTGTAATATTCCGTGACACTCGTTTATTCTTAATCCTCGTAGAAAAACCACCCATTTGCTAAATAAAATTCTAGCTGAAGCGCACTTCAGCTATGCGTTCACCACTGCAAAATTGTCAAAGGAAATCGACAAGCCCAGCGTGCATGAAGGCAGGCCCGCCACAAGGGGGAGATACTGAGTCCCTGGTACCGGGGCCCGGGCCCCGGAGGGGGCCCGTGTTACCTGTGAAAAACCACAAACGAATTCACATGCAACCCTTGTTTCGTAAGAAAAAGTGAAAAATTTACCCTAAAAATTTCGCAAAAGGTGAATAGATTTTCAGAAACACGCTGGGGCACTGTAGAATTCTTCTTAAATTTTCAAGAAAGTATACTTCTTGAAAATGTCTATCTAATTCAAGATTTTCAGTACAGAGAGATATATGTAGTAACTGCGTTGCATTTTCTTCTGTCGCCAGATGCTGAGAGTCTCCAGTCTGGACATCCTCGACTTCAATGGCTCATGGCTCAACTCCCTTGCCATAGAAAAACGAAGGGGGAGTCCAGGGGAGCCTGGCCCTCTTAGAACTGAAAAAGTATCATATGCCCCCCCCCCAAAATTTGAAAATTTTCCAGATGTTTTGAATGCAACAATTCGCAAGTATCTTGTACTGAAAGTATAAACAAACAAAAAAAAACAAAAAAAAAACAAAAAAAAAAAAAACATTATTATTCCGCAGATATTGATGGAAAAATTCTTTATGGAAGCTTCAAAATGCGTCCGATTAGTCGTATAAAGTCTAAAATTNCCCCCCCCCCCCCCCGTGCTTGGGGTCCGGAAGTTAAAACTGGTACCAGGGCTCGAGACGGGATGTGGCGAGCCTGCATGAAGGCTAATTCCATTTAAATCTTCCGTCACATTCATACGGTGCAATGATACAACTATTTGAACTCTCCGGAATGCGTGAGGTATCACGCCGCATTTAGGCGTTTTCAAATCAGCCAAGGTCCGATACCCGGATTATCGTTTTGCATACTTCATATTCTTTTGTTATATTCCGTGCCACTCGTTTATTTTTAATCCTCGTAGAAAAACCACCCATTTGTAAATAAAATTCTAGCTGAAGCGCACTTCAGCTATGCATTCTCCACTGCAAAAATTTCAGAGGAAATCGACAAGCCCAGCGTGCATGAAGGCTATTTCAATTGTAATCTTCCGTCGCATTTCTAAGGCGCAATGATACAACTATTTGAACTCTCCGGGATGTTTGAGGTATCACGCCGCTTTTGAAGGCGTTTTCAAATCAGCCAAGCTCCGATACCCGGATTATCGTTTTGCATAGTTCATATTCTTTGTAATATTCCGTGACACTCGTTTATTCTTAATCCTCGTAGAAAAACCACCCATTTGCTAAATAAAATTCTAGCTGAAGCGCACTTCAGCTATGCGTTCACCACTGCAAAATTGTCAAAGGAAATCGACAAGTCCAGCGTGCATGAAGGCAGGCCCGCCACAAGGGGGGGATACTGAGTCCCTGGTACCGGGGCCCGGGCCCCGGAGGGGGCCCGTGTTACCTGTGAAAAACCACAAACGAATTCACATGCAACCCTTGTTTCGTAAGAAAAAGTGAAAAATTTACCCTAAAAAGGTCGCAAAAGGTGAATAGATTTTCTGAAACACGCTTGGGCACTGTAGAATTCTTCTGAAATTTTCAAAGAAGTATACTTCTTGGAAAATTGGAAATTGGAGTTTTTTTCAGTGTGTGAAGTTGTTAAGTAATAATGAGCGCCGAACTTATGCACCTGTAGTTATATTATCATTCCCAGGGTATGTAATCCATACCTTGGGGCTGATTATTGAAATGGATAGACAAAGAGATGGACAAATACGACAAATAGAAAATGGAGCGATCCTTTTGGTGGAAGTAGGTTGTTACAATGAGGTAAGGGGGTGGTCAATAGACTAACTAGCAGCAACTCGAAAGAAGCCCTATAGTTAATCTATCATTTCCACCCTTAGTCTATAGGAAGATGTTTCAACTGGAACGTTGCGAGCTACGAGGTTTGGTGGTTTACCATCCATATGCCGATCGATAAGT